ATTAAACGTATCGCCGCTGTTGTCCATAAAAAAATTGGTATACAGTTTTTGAAATTATAAAATTTGTTTATTTTAACATTAAAATAAATAATTATATATTGTATATAGCATAAGTTCATAAAATTTTTAATAGACGATAAACGATATATGTTATACTGTAATTGGAATGTTTTGGGTGAAATTATAGAGCTTGCTACACTGTATAGTTAATTATGAATATTTATGAAATTAATTTTAAAGGAAATTAATTATTTTTATTATTATTATTATTATATATAAAAATTATTATCTATTTATTTTTGTAAAGTATTATACAATCAATTGAGACAGGCAACTTTGATGTTTGGCTAAATACAGGAATAAATTATTTAGTAAAATATATACAAAATTCTAATATTTATTACAATAACAACGACACTATCATAAATGATCCATACGATAAACGTATGCCATTGGACAGTATGCGTGTAGCACTGGGACCATATATAACAGTACTAACCATTTCATGTATTGTATTTGTAATAGAAATTATTAGTATAGTATTTTTTTAGTTAATTCATAATCATTAATAATAATAATCAAAAGTAAGTGTATATATAATCTGTATATCAATTATAATAAACTATTGAATAATTAATTATATTATATAATTTACTTAGAAATCTATATATAATTAATCAACTTATTAATGTTTTTTGATTTCTATATTAATATTTATATTATTATTTATATCACAATTCAGTAATTGTATAATTTTCAATTATTTACAAAAAAAATTTATAATTCAATAAAAAAATCATCATGACAAAAAATAGTAAGTAAAATTTAAAAATATCTTAAATAAAATAAAAATTTAATTGATATTTTTTATATAAAAAAAGATAATTTTACGGTATGTTAATTATTATTATTATTTATTAATATTAAAAAAATAGATAAAATAGTATTTATACTAATAGTTAATATCCTTTTAACTAATAGTTCCTAAAGAATACAAATAAAAACAATAATAAAAAAATTATAATTAATTTACTAATTAATAATAATAACCAACAATTTATGTCCATTGATTTTTATTTTTTGAATTATATGTTGTTTCATATGATTTCCCACCATTATTACATTGTTATATATATATATATATATATATAAATATAAAATATTTTTTAACTATATAAGTTTATTTTTGTTAATAATTTTAGTTAAATTATTTTTCAATACAATTTATAATAATGAGTCAAATATGAAAAAATAAAATAATTAATAATAAAATATCTAGACATCGTCAAAAAAATGTTTAGATCTAAAATTATATATCATAATATTAATAGAAATATGATTATAAAAAAAGTTTTTAATTTATCTATAATAAAATTATAAAATAATTAATAATAAAAAACAAATTTTTATTATACTTTAATTCAATGACAAATTAATTTTAGTTGGATAATTTTGTTATAACAGTTGCCTAAAAAATAAAATTTTATAATTAATAAAAAATTTATAGCAAATCATTTAATATTTTACCCCAAAGTCTGAAACTTTTATTGGCAATGATGTCGTATACGACCATTGATTTGCTATATAATCATATATTTCAACAGTTTCTGTATGTTTACCGTCTATAAGTAAAATAAAAATTATTTATATGAAAATAAAAATATTTTATATGTTAATAATGCTAAAAATTATGAAATTAAAATTTCTAAAAAAATTTCATTTTGTTAAATTATATTAAAAAAAATTAATGTTTAATTATTTACTGATTAATAATTGTTTTATTATTATAATAAAGCTATTTATAGTAAAAATTTTTTTTTATTAATTTATCAATAATAAATAAATTTATACATTTTGTTTTGCCACCCAATGCATATAATTTATTATTAAATGCAATCAATTTAAATGCAGATCTTTCTAAAAGCATTGATGCTATAAATAAATAAATAAAATATTATCAAATAAATAGTTTAATAATTAATTGAATTAATAATAATAACCAACCAATTTGTGTCCATTGATTTGTTTGCGGATCATATGTTTCGCATGATTTCCCCACATCACTACTAATACCCGAACCGCCGCAAACATATATTTTATCCATAAATGATGCTGATGCAAAATCAATTCTTAAAATAAAAAAAATATTAAAAAATTTAAATTTAAAAAAAAAATTAAAAAAATTAAAAAAATTAAAGTATTAATCTTAAAATATTGGTGCTCAAATATTTAATATTTTTTTTGTAATAAAAATTATTTTATAATTATACTGATACTAAAGTAAATAAAAGTATATATATACTAGTATATATACTATATATATTATTACTCTAACCTTTGATATATCATATTAGCCATTGGTTTCCATTGTTGTGTAGTTTTATCATATCTTTCCATTGTATTAAAAGATACTTTTAGATTATTACCTCCGATAGCATATATAAACCCATTGTGTGCTACCAGTGCCAGACCACGCCTTTCCTGACTCATTGGTTTAGCAAAAAACCACTCATCAGTATTTGGTGAATAATATTCACATGATTTTAAAATATTAGCTGTAAAATAAAAATATATATAAATAAGTCTTATTCTTATTTTTTAAAAAAAATCATATAAATAAATTAAAATAACATTTTTGATGTTTTTTTAAATAGCTATTGATTTATGGCTAAATCTTTACATTTATTTTATTTTAATACTAATAAATTAAACCAACCAATTAAAAATCAGAATTATTATTATTTTATCTATATTAAATTTTATGATTATGAATTTTTTTATCTAATTATGATTTATATTTAAAATTATACACTAAATTGTATCTTTATAAAATTATTCAATAGAATAAATCAATATAAATTAATTTATCTTGATTACACTTACTATTTGAACCACCGCATACATATATAGTATTTTCTATTACAGTTGCATCATGGTAACTATGATAATATTTTAATACATTTAATTAATAATTATTTATAATTTTGTTTTGTTTAACATACAGTATTATTTATCTATATATATATATGTATATAAATACCGGCGCATTATATTCATCGATGCAATAGATTTCCATTGATTTGTTTGTGTATCATATGTTTCAACACTATTCAAATTGTTTTTACCCTTAAAATATATAATTATTTTTTATAAATAAATTTAATATATATATATATATAATTTATTTAGAAATTAAGTTTTTCATACATACATTACTGCCACCGATTGCATACAATTTTGAATCCATTGAAATCAAACTAAATAACTGTCTCGGAGTAGACATGACTGGCATTGAATGCCAAACACTTGTATGTGTATTATATTTATAACATACAGACAATACAGATGACCCATCATATCCACCGCATATATAGATATAACTATCATCGGATAAGTCAATTGATTGCTAATAATTAGAATAATAAAAATAATAATAAATTTTATAAATTCCTTATTTGTAAAATTCAAAAAATATCATTTTTTCAAACTAAATATATATTCAATAATAATTTATATAAAAATATCAATCTTTTATCAATTTTTACTTAAAAAGTTATCTCTAATTTTTCTCATATTTTTAAAAATTATTAGATTTCAAGCCCTATTTCACCGCAGTGCCCTGATGAATTGAAATTGAAATGATTTTTACAAAAAATTGTATCAATTTATTTATAAATTATTTTTAGAAAAATTATTAAGCTTTATACTACCTGTGATGATACCGATGGTAAGTTTACTTTATTTGTGGTCAACTATATAAATGAGAACAAATTTAATTAGTAAACTATTAAAACAATTATTGATTATTATTTTAATTGATTTATTAAATTTTAATTACCCGAAGATTACTCAAACTTGTAGTCAATTGTTGACTGTTTGTTAAGTCTTGAATTGATTTCAATATGTTTTCCCTTTCGGTCTCTAATTCATTGATTTTTCTTAATAAACACTTATCTCTTGAAGAAGTTGTTGTCAATAGACTAATGTTTGATGAATTGTACGGACAATTGTTTACATGTTTAGACAACTCCTCTAATGATATTATTTCAGTACAACCCTTATCCCGGAAATCACATTTGATTTGAAGTTTTCCCAACATATTAGCCATAATTCTAGACAACAACAAATAATAAATAATTATTTAAATTTAATAAAATTCAATAAAATATTGTAAACAGCATATATAAATTCAAATCAATTATATATTTTTTAAACAAAAATTAACTTGATCAATTAATCTAGTTTTAAATAAACTTTAAAGTTATGAAATAAAGTGATACATTATTCTAAACAACAAAAATAAATAATTATTTAAATTTAATAAAATTCAATAAAATGTTGAAAACAATATACACTGTATAATAAACAGTGTATATATATTATTATATTATTAATAACCAAAATTTAATTATTCAAATAATCTAGTTTTAAATAAATTTGATTAAAGTGATTCATTGAGTTATAATTAATTAATTAAAAATAAAAAACCTTGATCACCCCCTTGATTAACCTTGATATAAATATATACAAAAGTATATAAATGTATATAAATTGAAATCAATATTATATTTTTAACAAAAAATTATTTATTTATTTAATTTTAACTAATCTTCAATTTGTTCATGTAAAGATTAAAGTTATTTTTAATTTATAAAAAAATATCACATTGAAAAAAAAATATTTTCATACCTGGGTGGTCGGGTTAATGCCTCCATTGTAAGTGTTTTTCTATCATACGGACAGGTATTGTTAGTCGACAGCCAATTGTTGATACAGTCTTTGCAAAATGTTTGGAGACAACACTGGGCTATAACTGGATAGCAAATAATATTCCGACATATACTACATGTTAGCTCAGCCCTATCCGATGGACTTAGATTAACAAATCGGTTGCAATCATAACCAGCCATTTTGTGTGTGTGTGTGTGTGTGTGTGTGTGTGTGTGTGTGTGTGTGTGTGTGTGTGTGTGTGTGTGTGTGTGTGTGTGTGTGTGTGTGTGTGTGTAAAATATGATAATTTTTTATTAACTATTTAATCAATTGAATACAACATAATACAAATTGACTATTTTTAATATATTTATAATTAACTATTACTAATAACTTATTTTTTAAATCATTTGAATTCAATACTATAATAATTAAAAATACTTTTCGTACACTTTATATATATATATTTAGATATATTGACATTATTTTTATAATAGTCATAAATTAATTATACAGTATTTCTAATGCATATAAAATAATATTAATTATTTAATGTTAATATTTAATATTTTATTTTAACTTTATTAATAATTTTTTTATGATCTTAAAATTATAAATATAGTAATATTTTTTTATCATAGTAACTCATATTAGTGTATTAACAATTGAATTTAATTAATGTAGATAATTATACTATTATAGATATTTGTAACATGACTTAAATAATTTTCAATTATGAAATAAGCAGTTAAAACTACAATCATTTATATTTCATTTTTTTTTTGCTAATTATTTTAGCAATAAATTTTATTATTCATTGATTATAACTATAGTAATTTTTTATTATTTTATTAATTTTAATTGTCTAACAATTAAACTGGTAATGAATACACAGACATAATTATATACAGTATAATATTGTTTATAACATTGTTTATAATTAACTAAAATAAATTTATCAATATGAATGAGTATTAATTACCTATTAAGTAATACAATAAATATTATTTAATGTTTAATTCATAATATTGTTATTGGTGTTAATTTATATTAATTTATATATTATATATATATTTAAAAATATATATAGAAATTATATTACTAATATTTTATAAAATATGATAAATTAATTAATTAGCTTAACGTTAAATTATACTTTTAATTTAAATGAAATAATAACAAAATAAATTTTTTTATTATAGTTAACTAATAACTTTTTTAGTAATAAATATACTAATCATTGATAATAATTAAAGTAATATTTTTTAGTATAATATCTTTTAGTGTTTAAAAATTACATTGCTTATAAAAAAATAAAATATTTTTTAACTTTATAAGCTATTTGTTTGTTTATAATTTAGTGAAATAAATTTACAATATTCACAATTGATTCAAATATGATAAAACTATTAAAATTATTGTTATTGTTAAATTGTTAATAATTTAGTTAAGTAAATCTACAATACACATTTGATTCAAATATGTAAAAAATTATAAAATAATTAATAATAAAAAACTAATTTTTATTAAACATAAATTCTATGACAAATTAATTTTTATTCGATAATTTTTATATAACAGTTGCCTAAAAAATAAAATTTAATACTTAATATAAAAAATTTAACAAATTATTAAATATTTTACCCCAAAGCCTAAAACTTTTATTGGCAATGATGTCGTATAATACCATTGATTTGCTTTATAATCATATACTTCAACCGTTTCGGTTGGTTCATAGTCTATAAGTTAAATATAATTATTTATTTAAGAATTTTTTAAGTTAGAAATTAGAAAAATATAATATAAAAATAATAAAATAGTTATTTTAGAATAATTATCAATTTAAAAAAAAATTTTAAATTATTAATTAATTAAATTTTAATAAATTTACATCAAAGGCAAATTATATTAAAATAAATTACCGTATAGACCCGCATATAGCCCCCCTGACGGTTTTTTAAAATTTTAAAATCAACATTTGGTAGGGGGTTATTTTTCACATATAGCCCCCCTACTGGGGCTATATGTGAAGTCGTGGGGGAAGGAACGATTGGGGGAAGGAACGATTGGGGGAAGGAACGATTGGGGGAAGGAACGATTGGGGGAAGGAACGATTGGGGGAAGGGTTACATATAAAATCGGTCTAATAAATAAAAAAATATGTAATGATCTGTAATAAGCTATGATTGTTATACGGATTATGTATTTAAGTAACAAAGCATTTAAATACAGTATAATAGCATTGAATTGAAAAATTATTTAAAAAAATTAAAATTTACAGTTTATTATAATTAATAGTTTTAGTTTAGACTTTACACTGATCGGTCAATAGATGGCATGGGGGGTATATATATACATTCAAAAAAACTACAATTAACTGACTTATTAAGAGACTTATTAAAAAATATGTTAATTACATTGATATAAGTTTGGAGGAAAGTATATTTAACTACGTGATCGGTCTATTGACGGTTATAACATTTATACAATATAATAAATAAAATTATACCTTTTGTTCGTCCACCCAATGCATATAATTTATCATTAAATGCAATCAATTTAAATCTATTTCTTTCTAAAAGCATTGGCGCTACACAAATAAAATATGTATAGAAAATTATAATTATTTTATTATAAGTAATTATAACCAACCAATTTGTGTCCATTGATTTGTTTTTGGATCATATGTCTCACACGATTTCCCATTATTATAACTATCACCGCCGCAAACATATATTTTATCCATAAATGATGCTGAACCAAAACTACGTCTTTAAATATAAAATTATTAATATTAAAAAAAATTAAACTAAATAATTTTAAAAATTGTTTTTGTATTTTAATCTGAAGTGCAAATATTTAATAAATATTATATTTAAATTTATTTTTATTTATTTAATAAATATTCTATAATAATACTGATTACAAGTATATAAGATTTTATAATATATAAATATACAATGTATATAGACATATTTTTAAACTAACCTTTTATATTTCATATTAGCCATTGTTTGCCATTGTTGTGTTGTTGTATCATATCTTTCCATTGTATTAAAAGATACTTTTAAATTATTACCTCCGATAGCATATATAAACCCTTCGTGTGCTACCAGTTCCAGATTACTTCTTTCCGTAGCCATTGGTGTTGTAAAAGACCATTCATTAGTATTATTTGGCGAATAATATTCACATGATTTTATAACATTTACTGTAAAATAGAATTATAAAAAAATGTCTTAATTTTAAAAAAAAATTATTTAGTTTATTATTTATAAATAGATTAGAATAATATTTTTTTATTTGTTTAATTTCTATTTTTAAAAATTAAATATCGTTTTTTTAAATAAAATTTATTATCAATTCAGAATTATGATTATGATGATATATCTATAAAATTATGCATATATTAAATCCTATATAAATTGTTACTAAAAAACTATTGCTACTAAAAATATTTTATAAATTAAAATAAGAATTGACTTGTACGAGAATATACTATTTTAAAATAAAAATGTTTTATACATTGTTTTTATATCTTATAAATTGTTTACTTACCATTATCCTTATCAAAACCACCACATACATATAAATTATTTTCTAATACAGTTGCATCATGTTGACTTCATAATAATTAATACATTAATATTTATATATTCTAATAATTTTATTTTAATTGTTTAACATAATTTTTATAATTTATATAAATACCTGCGTATTATATTCATGGATGCAATTGATTTCCATTGATTTGTTTGTGTATCATATGTTTCAATGCTATTCAATTTGTTTTCATTCTTAATATAAATTAATAAATTTTGTTTTATAAATAAATTAAAGATTAATAATCATTTATTTCAATATAAGTTTTTACATACATTACTGCCGCCGATTGCATACAATTTTGAATCCATTGAAATCAAACTAAAATAATGCCTCGGAGTAGACATTGATTTTACTGATTGCCAAACACTTGTGTGTGTATTATATTTATAACATTCAGACAATACAGATGTCCCATCATTTCCACCGCATATATAGATAAAACTATCCGATAAATCAATTGTTTTCTAAATTAACATAAAATAAAATTGTTTGCTATAATTGAAGTTAATTAATTTTATAATAGTAATTTTAATTGTAATTTATAATTGAAAAATCAACTTTTTTTAAAATACAAAAATGTAAATTATAATTATATCTCTCTATTTACTTATTTTTTTTAAATTATAAACTTTATACTACCTGAGATGATACCAATGGTATGTTTATTGTATTTGTGCTAAGCTATATAAATGAAAGTAAATTTTATTATTCATCTATTAAAACAATTATTTATTATTATTATTCAATTAATTTCGATTACCCGATGATTACTCAAACTTGTTGTCAATTGTTGACTGTTTATTAAGTCTCGAATTGTTTTCAATAAGTTTTCTCTTTCGGCCTCTAATTCATTGATTTTACTTAACAATGACTCATCTCTTTGAATGTTTGATGGATTGTATCGACAATTGTTTAAATGATTTGTCAGATACTCTAATATTATTACTTCAGTACAACCCTTATCCTGGAAATCACATTTGATTTGAAGTTTTCCCAACATATTAACCATAATTCTAAACAACAAAAAATTAATAAATATTTAGTTAAATTTATAAAATTTAATAAAATGTGATAACCAGTTAGGGTTAGATTGAGATTCCCAAATAAAATCCCTCCAATTTTCCCGGAAAATATGGAAAATATATTATATTCCCTCCGTTGATCGTTAGAAAGGGAAAATATAATTTGTCATATATTAAAAAGTATATAATCTCAATGATTATGTGTTTCAATTGGGACTACTATGTTAGTAATAACTCAATCAAAATGTGATTCAAATAATATTAAACATTTAGTAAAAACTTTAAATACATTTTGTAGACATTTACTATACAAATGTGGTTTTAATATTTAATTTATGTGAAGTGAGTTAGGGTACGATAGATGGTACCACAAGGAAATGTCTTCTCAGGGAACAGGGAACTTATGAAAAATAAGACGAGGGAGGGAATCTGATCTAACCCTATATATATAAATTCAAATCATTATTATATTTTTAACGAATAGTTTTTTTATTCATTATATTTTAAATAAACTTTAAAATTATAATTAAAATGATTAAATACATAATTAATTAATTAAAAATATTATTTTAAAAAATATGCAAGACATACCTGGGTGATTGGGTTAATGCCTCCGTTGTAAGTGTTTTTCTATCATACGGACAGATGTTGTTAGTCGACAGCCAATTGTTGATACAGTCTTTGCAAAATGTATGGAGACAACACTGGGCTATAACTGGACAGCAAATAATATTCAGACATATACTACATGTTAGCTCAGCCCTATCCGATGGACTTAGATTAACAAATCGGTTGCAATCATAACCAGGCATTTTGTATGTATGTGTAAAATATGTTAATTTTTAATTAACTATTTAATCAATTGAATACAACATTATACTAATTGTCAATTTTTTTATATAATTAACTATTACTAATAACTTGTTTTTTAAATCATTTGAATTCAATACAATAGCAATTAATTATATTTTTTGTTCACTTTATAAATATTTAGATAAATTGACTATATTTTTATAATAGTCATAAATTAATTTATCTTAACCATACTACAAATGCTACTAATGCATATGAAATAATATACATGATAGTAACTTTATTAGTGTAATAACAATAGACTTTTAATTAAAAATACATAATTTATATAAGTATATTATTATTTTAGTTTATAATATTATAAATATTTGTAACATGAGTTATGATAAATAATTTTAAATTATGAAATAAACAGTTATTTAACAACAATTATTTTATATTTTATTTTTTTGCAAATTATTTTAGCAATAAATTTTATTATTAATTGATTATAACTATAGTATTTTTTATTACTGTATTAACTTTAATTGTCTAACAATTAGACTGGTAATGTATACACCCATATATAACATTTTTTATAATTAACTAAAATAAATTTATAATATAAAAATGCGTCAACTACATAACACTGATAAATTATTAATAAAAATTTATACATTGTTATTACTGTAATTTAAAATTTTATTAATAGTTGCAAATAATTTAATTATTAATTAATATTTATTTATTTATTAAACTCTATATATGATATATGAATGAGTTGTAATTAACTATTAATTATTATTTCACACAATAAAAAATTATTTAATACTTAATTTATAAATTTGTTATTGTTGTTAACTTATACTAATTTATATGTATATTTAAATATATATATATTCTATATTATATAGAATTTATATTAATAATATTTCATAAAGTATGATAAAATAATTATCTTAGCATTAAATTATACTTTTAATTTAAATGAAATAATAACAAAAAATATTTTTTTAATTATATTTAACTAATATTTTATGTGATAATAATTATAGTAATATTTTTATTATTATATTATTTTTTAGTGTTTAACAATTACATTGATAATATAAAAATAAAATATGTTGATATTAAATTATTGTTATTGTTAAATTGTTAATAATTTAGTTAAATAAATTAACAATAAACATTTGATTAAAAATATGTAAAAAATTATAAAATAATTAATAATAAAAAACTCATTTTTATTAAACATAAATTCTATGATAAATTAATTTTTATTTAATAATTTCGATATAACAGTTGCCTAAAAAATACAATTTAATAATTAATAAAAAAAATATTAACAAATCATTTAATATTTTACCCCAAAGCCTGAGACTTTTATTGGCAATGATGTCGTATAATACCATTGATTCGCTTTATAATCATATATTTCAACCGAATCTGTGTAACCATCTATAAAAATATTTGTAAAACAAAAATTTAATAATTTATTTACAAAAAAAACAAATATTTTATAATTTTTTTTAGGAGTTAATAATAATTTTAGTTACTTATTAATTATTGAATTAATCAAAATAAATTTAATAATAGACAATAAAAATTATTACAAGTAATAAAATTTTTGATAATTAAAATAAATCAATTTAAAACTAATTTTGTTATTAATAAAATAAAAAATAATCTTTATCTGTTAGTTTATTGTCTATAATATAAATAAAATAATTTATTTTAGAATAAAAACATTTTATGTGTAATTTTTAGATTAATTAAAATTGAAAAATAATTTATATACAATTAATAAACTTTGTAGTTATTTTAAATAAATTATATAATTGTAATAAAAAAGAAAAATTTTAAAATTATTTATAGATTAATAAAATTATAATAAATATGCCAATTTTTGTTAATAATATATTAATAATAAATAAAATATACCATTTGTTTGTCCACCCAATGCATATAATTTATTATTAAATGCAATCAATTTAAAATCAGCTCTTTCTAAAAGCATAGATGCTATAAATAAAATATAAGTACAAAGTATAATAATTAATTGAATTACTAATAACCAACCAATTGGTGTCCATTGATTTGTATTTGGATCATATGTTTCGCATGATTTATAATTACTATTACCATAACCGCCGCAAACATATATTTTGCCCATAAATGATGCTGAACCAAAATAACATCTTGAAATAAAAAATATTAAATATAATAAAAATAAATTTAGTAAATAAATTATAGTTAAAAAATAAAGTATTTGTGTATTGCATATTTATACTGATTACAAGTTTAAATAAATATATAAAATTATATATTAAAAGTAACCTATTATTTGTCATATTAGCCATTGGTTGCCATTGTTGTGTTTTTGTATCATATCTTTCCATTGTATTTAATATACTATTATCTTTAATGATACCTCCGATAGCATATATAAACCCATTGTGTGCTACCAGTGACAGACCATGCCTTTCCTGACTCATTGGTGTTACAAAAGACCATTCATTATTATTTTGTGAATAATATTCACATGATTTTATAGAATTGTCTGTAATATAAAATTASATAAATAAGTCTATAGATAGAGATATAATTTAGTTTATATAAAAATATTTAATAACATTTTATTTGATTTGTTTTCATTAGCTGATATGGATTTTTACTAAATGTCTATATCTCTGCAAATAGCAGAAAATTTTTATTTTTTAAATAATTATTATCAATCAATTAATTAAGAATTATGTTTAAAATTTCATTTTTATTTTTGTTTTTTTAATCTAATTCTCATTTATCTTTAAAATCTATACATCTAATAAATTGTATCAATTTACTAAAAAACTATAAATATATAAATATTAATTTATATTCAAATTGCGTTTTATATAACAATACCTTACATTTTTCTAATGTCTAGAAATAATTCAAATTCAAATAAAAACTCTGTTGTTAAATGAAATATTATTTACTAAATATAAATATATGTGAATAGATTATGTTAAATTAGTTTATATATAAATTAAATTAATAAATTAAATATTATTTTTTATAATTTATATATATTTATTATACACTTACCATTGTAACCACCACAAACATATATTGTATTTTCTAATACAGTTGCAGCATGAGAACTTTATAGCATTTAATACATTTAATTAATATTTAATTAATATTTAATTATGATAATAATTTTGTTTTAATTGTTTAACATACCATCGTATTATATTCATCGATGCAATTGATTTCCATTGATTTGTTTGTGTATCATATGTTTCAACACTATTCAATTTGTTTTTACCCTTAATATAAAATATTTATTTATGTTTTAAAAATAATTTTAATATAAGTAATAATTTATATTTTTTAATAAGATTTTACATACATTCCAACCGCCGATTGCATACAATTTTGAATCCATTGAAATCAAACTAAAATACTGTCTGTGAGTGGACATGGATTGTATTGATTGCCAAACACTTGTTTGTATATTATATTTATAACATTCAGCCAAAACATATTTCACATTACTACCACCGCATATATAGATAAAACTATTTGATATGTCAATTGATTGCTAAAATTTATAAAAATAAAATATATATTTAATAAACAATTTAACATATAATTTTTAATAAATATAATTTATGAACACATAACAACATAAAAACATAACAAACAAAATAATAATCATTTTTATATGATTTTCTTATTTCTAAACTAAAATATATTTTATATAATTTAATTAAGTTTTATACTTTCTAATTAAATATATAATAATAATTTATAAATGAAATCAGTTTTTATTAGAATTTATAAAAATATAAATGAATTTTACTTAAATAATTGTGTTTCTCTTAATTTAGTAATTAATTATTTTTATATAAATATTAAACTTAATACTACCGTTGATGATACCGATGGTATGCTAACTGTATTTGTGGTTAGCTATAAAATGAAATAAAATTTTTATTTTAGTAATCTATTAATTTTTTTATTATTTAATTTAAATTACCCGAACATTACTCAAACTTGTAGTCAATTGTTGACTGTTTATTAAATCTTGAATTGTTTTCAATAAGTTTTCCCTTTCGGACTCTAATTCATGTATTTTTCTTAACAATGACTCTTCTCTTACTGAAGTTGTTGACAATAGACTACTGTTTGATGTATTGTATTGACAATTAATTACATGATTTGACAACTCCTCTAATGATATTATAATCAGTACAACCCTTATCCCGGAAATCACATTTGATTTGAAGTTTTCCCAACATATTAACCATAACTCTAACAAAACAAATAAACAAACAAAAAGTTTACTTTAATATTAGTAACAAGTATTTAATGATATAAACAATAGTGATATAAACAGTATATATTAATAGAAAAAATTATATTATATTTTAACTAATAACTAATTAATTAATTTAATAATAGTTTTTACAACATAAACGTGTACAAAGTTATCATTAAAATAATTTATATCATATTAACCATAACTCTAAATAAACAATATTCAAATCTTTATAATATATTTAACCTAAATTATTTTATTAAATATTATATTATTACCAAGTTTAGATGAAAACTAATTGAATAATTGAATTGCTTAAATATTAAATAACAAAAAAATATTTACATACCTGGGTGGTCGGGTTAATGCCTCCGTTGTTAGTGTTTTTCTATCATACGGACAGGTATTGTTAGTCGACAGCCAATTGTTGATACAGTCTTCGCAAAATGTTTGGCGACAACACTGGGCTATAACTGGACAGTAAAATATGTCCTGACATATACTACAGGTTAGCTCAGCCCTATCGGCTGGACTTAGATTAACAAATCGGTCGCAATCATAACCAGGCATTTTGTATGTATGTGTAAAATATGACAATTTTTAATATAATTAACTATTAAATCAATTGAATACAACACAATACTAATTAATTTTTATGCTATCATATATATATATATATAGGTATAATGTCAATTATAATTATCTTAATGATAAATTATTATAATCTTAATTCAAATGAAATAGTAAACACTTGAAGTTAACATTTAATATTTTATTTTACCGCATTTAATTTTTATTAATAAATTTTTTTAGTAATCTTAACGATTGAAACTATAGTAATTTTTTTTAATTGGTAACTTTAAGTGTATTAACAATAAACTCATAATATACTAGTATTTATATTTTTATATAAATATATTATAGTTATACTATTATAAATATTTTTAACATGACTTAAATATTTAAATAATTTACATTATACTCTTGAATTACTCTACAATTAAAAAATAGTTAATAATATTTAGTAAACATATTTTAAATAATGTTAATTTAGTTAGAATAGCTAAATATTTTTATTATAAATTTTTATTTAATTGATTTTCTTTTATATTAAAATAAAATAAAATAATTTCATTAAACTTAACACAAAGTTCAAGTTTTGATATTATAAGTACTTATGAATTATTAATAAATATTTTTATTATTAAAAGATTGAGGTAATATTACAGTATATTAATAGGTATACATTATATAATAATCATTGTTATATACTGTATAATATATTTAGTATAAAGTATAAATGTATTATTACATTAAAATTAGATATAACAAATTTATTTTATATAAATAAATTATACACCATAAAATATTTTTAAAAACCAAATTTATTAATAAAATATTTTTATTTTATAAATAATTATTTTAAAGAAAAGTTATTTAAATTAATTTTTAGAAATCAATAATTAGATAAAATTTTTGTTTATTTGTTTCATTTGCTATTATTTTTTTAAAAAAATAATTTTGTCTTTAGCTATTCATATAAAAAGCTATCTATATTATTATACTGTATTATATTATACAAAAAAAAATATTTATAAATTAAATTAAAATTGTGGTTTTATTGAACTTAAAATCACTGAATTATTGAATTTATTATCATAATTTTTTTTTATAATAGTGGCCTATAAAATAAAATATAATAATTAGAATAAAAATTTAACTTAAAATATCTTAAATTATTTTACTCCAAAATATCCAATTTTTATTGGCAATGATGTCGTATAAAACCATTGATTGGATTTATAATTATATATTTCAACCGTATTTGTGTAACAATCTATAGAAATATTTAAAATATATTAAAAATTTATTTCATTTCAATTTTTATAAATAACAGTTAATCATAATTTTAGTATAAACTTAATAAATTTATATTAATGATTATTTATTTAATTAAAATGAATAGAATAGATGTCTTATTTTACAGTTATTTAAAAAAATAAATAAATTTAATAACAAAAAAATTATTACTAGTAATTTAAATATTTAAACTATTTAAATATTATATTTTTTATATAATCTATAGCTGATATTATTTTAATTGTTATATACAATATTATAAACACATTAGTTCATTAAAATTTTGAAAATTATTTTATTTAATAAAAATAATTTATATAAATAAATACCGGTATAAACACTTACCATAGAAACCACCACATACAAATATTTTGCATTACAGTTTCATCATGGGCACTTTATGAAATTTAATTTGTTTAATAAATATGTTTTTTATGAAAACAATAATATTAAAAAATATTCAAATATTTAGTTATAGCAATACTCGCGTATTATATTCATCGATGTTATAGATTTCCATTGATTTGTTTACGTATCATATGTTTCGACACTATTCAATATATCTTTACCCTTTAATATGAAATTAATTATTAGTGTATCATATTTTTTTTTTAAATTTACATTTCCATTATTACCTCCGATAGCATATATAAACCTTTTGTGTGGTACCAGTGCCAGACCACCCTTACTGTACTCTTTCGTGTTGCAAAAGACCACTTATCAGTATTTGGTAAATAATATTCACATGATTTTATAATATTTTCTGTAAAAAATAAAATTATATAAATAAGTTTACCTGTCTTAATTTTGCAAAAAGTTTATTTAATTTAGTTTATATAAAGAAGTTTAATAACATTTTTTATTGATTTGACTAAATGGCTATATCTCTACAAATATTGGATAACATATTTTCAATAATAATTATTTTCAATAAATTAATTCAGAATTATTATTAATTAATGAAATTAATTTGATTATTATTTTTGTTTTAATCTAATTATGATAAATCTTATAAAAATTGTACATATATTAGATTTTATTTATATAAAACAGGTCAATATTAATTCAAATAACAATTATGTTTTTAAATAAAAACATATATAAATAGAAAATGTTAAATTAGTTTATACATGAAATAAATTACAAATTATAATACACAATTCTTTATAAAAATTTCTCATTAAATGATAAGTTTTAAATTTATTTTTTAACTAATGCTTAATAAATAATATTTAAGAAAATCAAATAGGAATAAGCTTACGTATTTGAAATATGTTTGATTTATTATACACTTACCATTTTAACAACCACATACATATATTGTATTTTCTATTACAGTTGCATCATGCACACTTTACGATATTTAATACATTTAATTAATATTTATTTATAATAATTACTTTTTTTAATTGTTTAACATAATAGTAATTATATATATATATATTATACCTGAGTATTATATTCATCAATGCTATTGATTTCCTGTGATTTGTTTGTGTATCGTATGTATCAATAGTATTGAAATGGTTTTTACCCTTAATATTAAATAATTATTTATATTTTAAAAATAATTCTAATATAAATAATAATTTTTTATTTTTAAATAAATTTTTACATACATTCCAACCGCCGATTGCATACAATTTTGAATCCATTGAAATCAAACTAAAGTAAGCCCTCGGAGTGGACATGGATTGTATTGATTGCCAAACACTTGTTTGTGTATTACTGTATATTTATAACATACAGACAATACAGATGACCCATCATATCCACTGCATATATAAATAAAACTACCATCGGATAAGTCAATTGATTGCTAATAATTAACATAACAATCAAAAAAATTAATAAGTTTTACTAACTTCTATATTTCTAAACTAAGCAATAGATTATATAGATTTATTAAGTTTTTCTTTCTAATTTAATAAAATCTAATGAAAATAAAATCAAAGTTTGTATTAATTTACACAAATAAAAATGAAATAAATGTTTTTTCAATTAACTAAAATTTAAATAATTTTTCTAATAAATTTGTGTTTTTCTTAATTTACTAAATTAGTTATTATTTTTAATTTATAAAACTTAATACTACCTGTAATGATACCGATGCTAAGTTTACTGTATTTTTGGAAGCTATATAAATGATAGAAAATTATTAATCTATTAAAACAATTATTATTATTATTTATTATTATAATTATTTAAATTAATTTCGATTATATGATTATTACTCAAACTTGTTGTCAATTGATTACTGTTTATTAAGTCTCGATTTTTTTTCAATAAGTTTTCTCTTTCGGCCTCTAATTCATTGATTTTTCTTAACAATGACTCTTCTCTTTGAATGTTTGATGGATTGTATCGACAATTGTTTAAATGATTTCTCAGATACTCTAATATTATTACTTCAGTACAACCCTTATCCTGGAAATCACATTTGATTTGAAGTTTTCCCAACATATTAACCATAATTCTAACACAAAACAAAAAATAAATATTTAGTTAAATTTATAAAAATTTAATAAAATGTTATAAACAGTATAAATATATAGAATTTCAAATCAATATTATATTTTTGACAAAAACATTAAATTAAAATGATTCATAGTTATAATAAATTAATTAAAAATATGGTAAGACATACCTGGGTGGTCTGATTAATGCCTCCGTTGTAAGTATTTTTCTATCATACGGATAGGTATTGTTAGTCGACAGCCAATTGTTGATATAGTCTTTGCAAAATGTTTGGAGACAACACTGGGCTATAACTGGACAGCAAATAATATTCAGACATATACTACATGTTAGCTCAGCCCTATCCGATGGACTTAGATTAACAAATCGGTCGCAATCATAACCAGGCATTTTGTATGTGTGTTTAAAATGTGACAATTTTTAATTAACTATTTAATCAATGATTACAGCATAATACTAATTGTCAATTTTTTATATAATTAACTATTACTATTAACTTATTTTTTAAATCATTTGAATTCAATACAATAGGAATTAATTATATTTTTTGTTCACTTTATAAATATTTAGATATATTGACATTATTTTTATAATGGTCATAAATTAATTTATTTTAACAATAAATTATATTACTAATGCATATGAAATAATATTAATTATTTAAAGTTAATATTTTATTTTAACTTTATTAATAATTTTTTTATGATCTTAAAATTATAAATATAGTAATATTTTTTTTATCATAGTAACTTATATTAGTGTATTAACAATTGAATTTAATTAATGTAGATAATTATACTTTTAATATAAATGAAATAATAACATAAAATAAATTTTTTTATTATAGTTAACTAATTACTTTTTTAGTAATAAATATTCTAATCATTGATAATAATTAGTTATATTTTTTATTATAATATCTTTTAGTGTTTAAAAATTACATTGCTTATAAAAAAATAAAATATTTTTTAACTTTATAAGCTATTTGTTTGTTTATAATTTAGTGAAATAAATTTACAATACACATTTGATTCAAATATGATAATTTTATAAAATAATTAATAATAAAAAACTAATTTTTATTAAACTTAAATTCTGATTAATTAATTTTTATTCGATAATTTTTATATAACAGTTGCCTAAAAAATAAAATTTAATACTTAATATAAAAAATTTAACAAATTATTAAATATTTTACCCCAAAGCCTAAAACTTTTATTGGCAATGATGTCGTATAATACCATTGATTTGCTTTATAATCATATACTTCAACCGTTTCGGTTGGTTCATAGTCTATAAATTAAATATAATTATTTATTTAAGAATTTTTTAAGTTAGAAATTAGAAAAATATAATATAAAAATAATAAAATAGTTATTTTAGAATAATTATCAATTTAAAAAAAGAAAAATATTAAATTATTATTAATTAAATTTTAATAAATTTACATCAAAGGCAAATTATATTAAAATAAATTAATATTGAGAGACAATAGAGACCGATCATATGGTGTGTTAACCTGTATGACCGATCGTTAGACGATCATTCACTTATAATTAGTTAATTTATTCAATTGAACACAAACTTTATTAAATAAAATACAATATATAGAAAATAATATATATTATAAATTAGTATAATAATGATAACTAACAATTGACGGAATTAAATGTGTTATAAATACATGTATTTATAGAGATTCTAAAGTAAGCATTTAGTGTATGAATATAAATAGTTTCAGTATCATAGTAACAATGGTTTGGAGACTCATTAAAAAAATATGTTAATTACATTGATATAAGTTTGGAGGAAAGTATATTTAACTACGTGATCGGTCTATTGACCCATCAATGTTATAACATTTATACAATATAATAAATAAAATTATACCTTTTGTTCGTCCACCCAATGCATATAATTTATCATTAAATGCAATCATTTTAAATCTACTTCTTTCTAAAAGCATTGGCGCTACACAAATAAAATATGTATAGAAAATTATAATAATTATAATTGTAAGTAATTATAACCAACCAATTTGTGTCCATTGATTTGTTTTTGGATCATATGTCTCACACGATTTCCCATTATTATAACTATCACCGCCGCAAACATATATTTTATCCATAAATGATGCTGAACCAAAACTACGTCTTTAAATATAAAATTATTAATATTAAAAAAAATTAAACTTTAAAAATTGTTTTTGTATTTTAATCTGAAGTGCAAATATTTAATAAATATTTTATTTAAATTTATTTTTATTTATTTAATAAATATTCTATAATAATACTGATTACAAGTATATAAGATTTTATAATATATAAATATACAATCTATATAGACATATTTTTAAACTAACCTTTTATATTTCATATTAGCCATTGGTTGCCATTGTTGTGTAGTTGTATCATATCTTTCCATTGTATTAAAACATGATTTTAAATTATTACCTCCGATAGCATATATAAACCCTTCGTGTGCTACCAGTTCCAGATTACTTCTTTCCGTAGCCATTGGTGTTGTAAAAGACCACTCATTAGTATTATTTGGCGAATAATATTCACATGATTTTATAACATTTACTGTAAAATAGAATTATAAAAAAATGTCTTAATTTTAAAAAAAAATTATTTAGTTTATTATTTATAAATAGATTAGAATAATATTTTTTTTATTTGTTTAATTTCTATTATTAAAAATTAAATATCGTTTTTTTAAATAAAATTTATTATCAATTCAGAATTATGATTATGATGATATATCTATAAAATTATGCATATATTAAATCCTATATAAATTGTTACTAAAAAACTATTGCTACTAAAAATATTTTATAAATTAAAATAAGAATTGACTTGTACGAGAATATACTATTTTAAAATAAAAATGTTTTATACATTGTTTTTATATCTTATAAATTGTTTACTTACTATTATCCTTATCAAAACCACCACATACATATAAATTATTTTCTAATACAGTTGCATCATGCTGACTTCAAAATAATTTATACATTAATATTTATATATTCTAATAATTTTATTTTAATTGTTTAACATAATTTTTATATTTTATATAAATACCTGCGTATTATATTCATGGATGCAATTGATTTCCATTGATATGTTTGTGTATCATATGTTTCAATGCTATTCAATTTGTTTTCATTCTTAATATAAATTAATAAATTTTGTTTTATAAATTAATTAAAGATTAATAATCATTTATTTCAATATAAGTTTTTACATACATTACTGCCGCCGATTGCATACAATTTTGAATCCATTGAAATCAAACTAAAATAATGCCTCGGAGTAGACATTGATTTTACTGATTGCCAAACACTTGTGTGTGTATTATATTTATAACATTCAGACAATACAGATGTCCCATCATTTCCACCGCATATATAGATAAAACTATCCGATAAATCAATTGTTTTCTAAATTAACATAAAATAAAATTGTTTGCTATAATTGAAGTTAATTAATTTTATAATAGTAATTTTAATTGTAATTTATAATTGAAAAATCAACTTTTTTTAAAATACAAAAATTTAAATTATAATTATATCTCTCTATTTACTTATTATTTTTTTTAAATTATAAACTTTATACTACCTGAGATGATACCAATGGTAAGTTTACTGTATTTGTGGTAAGCTATATAAATGAAAGTAAATTTAATTAGTAATCTATTAAAACAATTATTGATTATTATTTTAAATGATTTATTAAATTTTAATTACCCGAAGATTACTCAAACTTGTAGTCAATTGTTTTCTATTTATTAAGTCTTGAATTGCTTTCAAAAAGTTTTCCCTTTCGGTCTCTAATTCATTAATTTTTCTTAACAATGACTCTTCTCTTTGAATGTTTGATGGATTGTATCGACAATTGTTTAAATGATTTGTCAGATATTCTAATATTATTACTTCAGTACAACCCTTATCCTGGAAATCACATTTGATTTGAAGTTTTCCCAACATATTAACCATAATTCTAAACAACAAAAAATTAATAAATATTTAGTTAAATTTATAAAATTTAATAAAATGTGATAACCAGTTAGGGTTAGATTGAGATTCCCAGGGAGGTAAGTTCCCAAATAAAATCCCTCCAATTATCCCGGAAAAAATGGAAAATATATTATATTCCCTCCCTTGATCGTTAGAAAGTGAAAATATAATTTGTCATATATTAAAAAGTATATAATCTCAATGATTATGTGTTTCAATTGGGACTACTATGTTAGTAATAACTCAATCAAAATGTGATTCAAATAATATTAAACATTTAGTAAAAACTTTAAATACATTTTGTAGACATTTACTATACAAATGTGGTTTTAATTAAACATTATGTGAAGTGAGTTAGGGTACGATAGATGGTACCACAAGGAAATGTCTTCTCAGGGAACAGGGAATATAAGGAACTTATGAAAATAATACGAGGGAGAGAATCTGATCTAACCCTATATATATATATAAATTCAAATCAATATTATATTTTGAACGAATAGATTTTTTATTCATTATATTTTAAATAAACTAACTTTAAAATTATAATTAAAATGATTAATTAATTAAAAATATTATTTTAAACAATATGGCAAGACATACCTGGGTGGTTGGGTTAATGCCTCAGTTGTAAGTGTTTTTCTATCATACGGACAGGTATTGTTAGTTGACAGCCAATTGTTGATACAGTCTTCGCAAAATGTTTGTCGACAACACTGGGCTATAACTGGACAGCAAATAATATTCAGACATATACTACATGTTAGCTCAGCCCTATCCGATGGACTTAGATTAACAAATCTGTCGCAATCATAACCAGGCATTTTGTATGTATGTTTAAAATATGTTAATTTTTAATTAACTATTTAATCAATTGAATACAACATTATACTAATTGTCAATTTTTAATACAATTAACTATTACTAATAACTTATTTTTTAAATCATTTGAATTCAATACAATAGCAATTAATTATATTTTTTGTTCACTTTATAAATATTTAGATAAATTGACTATATTTTTATAATAGTCATAAATTAATTTATCTTAACCATACTACCAATGCTACTAATGCATATGAACATAATATACATGATAGTAAATTTATTAGTGTAATAACACTAGACTTTTAATTAAAAATACATAATTTATATAAGTATATTATTATTTTAGTTTATAATATTATAAATATTTGTAACATGAGTTATGATAAATAATTTTAAATTATGAAATAAACAGTTAAAACAACAATTATTTTATATTTTATTTTTTTTGCTAATTATTTTAGCAATAAATTTTATTATTAAATGATTATAACTATAGTATTTTTTAATTACTGTATTAACTTTAATTGTCTAACAATTAGACTGGTAATGTATACACCCATATATATATAAAATTATATATATAAATATAACATTTTTTATAATTAACTAAAATAAATTTATAATATAAAAATGCGTCAACTACATAACACTGATAAATTATTAATAAAAATTTATATATTGTTATTATTGTAATTTAAAATTTTATTACTAGTTGCAAATAATTTAATTATTAATTAATATTTATTTATTTATTAAACTGTATATTATATATGAATGAGTTGTAATTAACAATTAATTATTATTTAATACTATAAAATATTATTTAATACTTAATTTATAAATTTGTTATTGTTGTTAACTTATACTAATTTATATGTATATTTAAATATATATATATATATATATATACTATATTATATAGAATTTATATTAACAATATTTCATAAAGTATGATAAAATAATTATCTTAGCAATAAATTATACTTTTAATTTAAATGAAATAATAATATAAAATAATTTTTAAAAAATTATATTTAACTAATATTTTTTTGATAATAATTATAGTAATATTTTTATTATATTATTTTTTAGTGTTTAACAATTACATTGATTATATAAAAATAAAATATGTTGATATTAAATTATTGTTATTGTTAAATTGTTAATAATTTAGTTAAATAAATCTACAATACACATTTGATTCAAATATGTAAAAAATTATAAAATAATTAATAATAAAAAACTCATTTTTATTAAACATAAATTCTATGATAAATTAATTTTTATTTGATAATTTTGATATAACAGTTGCCTAAAAAATACAATTTAATAATTAATAAAAAAAATATTAACAAATCATTTAATATTTTACCCCAAAGTATGCGACTTTTATTGGCAATGATGTCGTATAATACCATTGATTTGCTTTATAATCATATATTTCAACCGAATCTGTTGGTTTCTTGTCTATAATTTAAATAAAATAATTTATTTTAGAATTAAATCTTTTTATGTGTAATTTATAGATTAATTAAAATAGAAAAATAATTTATATACAATTAATAAACTTTATAGTTATTTTAAATAAATTATATAATTGTAATAAAAAAGAAAAATTTTAAAATTATTTATAGATTAATAAAATTATAATAAATATGTCAATTTTTGTTAATAATATATTAATAATAAATAAAATATACCCTTTGTATTTCCACCCAATGCATATAATTTATCATTAAATGCAATCAATTTAAATGCATATCTTTCCAAAAGCATTGATGCTATAAATAAAATATAAGTACAAAGTATAATAAATAATAGTAATTAATAATAATCAACCAATTGGTGTCCATTGATTTGTTTTTGGATCATATGTTTCGCATGATTTCAAAACACTATTATCATAACCGCCGCAAACATATATTTTGCCCATAAATGATGCTGAACCAAAATAAAATCTTGAAATAAAAAAAAATATTAAATGTAATAAAAATAAATTTTTAAAAGTATTTGTGTATTGTATATTTATACTGATTACAAGTTTATATAAATATATAAAATTATATATTAAAAGTAACCTATTATTTGTCATATTAGCCATTAGTTGCCATTGTTGTGTTTTTGTATCATATCTTTCCATTGTATTTAATGCCCCACTATTATACCCTCCGATAGCATATATAAACCCATTGTGTGCTACCAGTGCCAGACCATTCCTTTTGTGACTCATTGGTGTTACAAAAGACCACTCTTTATTATTTTGCGAATAATATTCACATGATTTTATAGTATTGTCTGTAATATTAAATTACATAAATAAGTTTACCTCTCTTAAATTTTAAAGAAATATAATTTAGTTTATATAAAAATATTTAATAACATTTTATTTGATTTGTTTTCATTAGCTGATATTGATTTTTACTAAATGACTATATCTCTACAAATAGCAGAAAGTTTTTATTTTTTAAATAATTATTATCAATCAATTAATTAAGAATTATGTTTAAAATTTCATTTTTATTATTGTTTTTTAATCCAATTATGATTTATTAAATCTTTAAAATCTATACATCTAATAAATTGTATTAATTTACTAAAAAACTATAAATATATAAATATTAACTTATATTCAAATTGCGTTTTATATAACAATACCTTACATTTTTCTAATGTCTAGAAATAATTCAAATTCAAATAAAAACTCTGTTGCTAAATGAAATATTATTTACTAAATATAAATATATGTAAATAGATTATGTTAAATTAGTTTATATATAAATTAAATTAATAAATTAAATATTATTTTTTATAATTTATATTTATTTATTATACACTTACCATTGTAACCACCACATACATATATTGTATTTTCTAATACAGTTGCATCATGATAACTTTATAGCATTTAATACATTTAATTAATATTTAATTATGATAATAATTTTGTTCTAATTGTTTAACATACCTTCGAATTATATTCATCGATACAATTGATTTCCATTGATTTGTTTGTGTATCATATGTTTCAACACTATTCAATTTGTTTTTACCCTTAATATAAAATATTTATTTATGTTTTAAAAATAATTTTAATATAAGTAATAATTTATATTTTTTTAATAAGATTTTACATACATTCCAACCGCCGATTGCATACAATTTTGAATTCATTGAAATCAAACTAAAGTTAGTCCTTATAGTGGACATGGATTTTATTGATTGCCAAACACTTGTTTGTGTATTATATTTATAACATACAGACAATCGTGATGTCCCATCATATCCACCGCATATATAGATAAAGCTATCCGATAAGTCAATTGATTGCTAAAATTTATAAAAATAAAATATATATTTAATAAACAATTTAACATATAATTTTTAATAAATATAATTTGTGAACACATAACAACATAACAACATAAAAACATAACAAACAAAATAATAATCAATTTTATATGATTTCCTTATTTCTAAACTAAAATATATTTTATATAATTTAATTAAGTTTTTTACTTTCTAATTAAATATATAATAATAATTAATAAATGAAATCAGTTTTTATTAGAATTTATAATAATATAAATGAATTTTACTTAAATAATTGTGTCTCTCTTAATTTTGTAATTAATTATTTTTAAATAAATATTAAACTTAATAATACCGGTGATGATACCGATGGTACGCTAACTGTATTTGTGGTTAGCTATAGAATGAAATTAAATTTTTATTTTAGTAATTTATTATTTTTTTATTATTTAATTTAAATTACCCGAACATTACTCAAACTTGTAGTCAATTGTTGACTGTTTATTAAATCTTGAATTGTTTTTAATAAGTTTTCTCTTTCGGCCTCTAATTCATTGATTTTTCTTAACAAAGACTCTTCTCTTTGATTGTTTAATGGATTGTATCGACAATTGCTTAAATGATTTGTCAGATACTCTAATATTATTACTTCAGTACAACCGTTATCCCGGAAATCACATTTGATTTGAAGTTTTCCCAACATATTAACCATAACTCTAACAAAACAAATAAATATTTAGTTAAATTTATAAAATTCAATAAAATTTGATAAACAATATATATATATAAATGAATATAAATTAAAATTAATATTATATTTTTAACAAAAATTTATTTATTCATGAGATAATGTAATAATGATTTCAGTTATGATTAAAGTGATAGATAAAGTTATAATTAATTAATTAAAAATATTACTTTGAAAAAATATGACATAATGTTATGAATAATGTGATACATAATTCTAGACAATAATAAATAATTATTTAATTTACAAAAAGTTTACTTTAATATTAGTAACAAGTATTTAATTTTTTTATAGCCGTAACTCAATAAAATGTGATATAAACAGTAAATATTAATAGAAAAAATTATATTATATTTTAACTAATAACTAATTAATTAATTTAATAATAGTTTTTACAACATAAAAGTGTACAAAGTTAGAATTAAAATAATTTATAACATATTAATTATAACTCTAACAAAACAACATTCAAATCTATATAATATATTTAACCTAAATTATTTTATTAAATATTATATTATTACCAAGTTTAGATGAAAACTAATTTAATAATTGAATTGCTTAAATATTAAATAACAAAAAAATATTTACATACCTGGGTGGTCGGGTTAATGCATCCTTAGTAAGTGTTTTTCTATCATACGGACAGGTATTGTTAGTCGACAGCCAATTGTTGATACAGTCTTCGCAAAATGTTTGGAGACAACACTGGGCTATAACTGGACAGTAAAATATATCCTGACATATACTACATGTTAGCTCATCCCTATCGGCTGGACTTAGATTAACAAATCGGTTGCAATCATAACCGGGCATATTGTTTGTATGGATGTGCAAAATATGCCAATTATATATATATATATAATTAACTATTAAATCAATTGTATACCAACACAATACTAATTAATTTTTTTGTTGCTAAAATATATTTATATATAAATATATATTTAGCTATATTTTTATATTGAATTCTAATTATCTTAATGATAAATTATTTTTATCTTTATTCACATAAAATAGTGAAACACTTAAAGTTAAAATTTAATATTTCATTTTAACTTATATAATTTTTAGTAATCTTAACGATTAAAACTATAGTAATTTTTTATTATCTGTAACTTTCAGTGTATTAACAATAAACTCATAATATACAGGTATTTATATTTTTATATTAATATATTATAGTTTGTAACTTGACTTAAATATTTAAATAATTAACATTATAAGCGTTATTATTAATAATCTTTGTTTTATTTAATAAATAAATTAAATTATTTTTTTTTGTAAATATATTTCTATGTGTAATATTTTTTATTAATGATTATTTAGTTAAATATTTTTACTATTGATTAATTTTTTTATATTAAATCTAAAATAAAATAATTTATAAAACTTAACTCAAAGTTCAATTTTTGATATTATAAGTACTTATAAAAGATTATATAATAAATAATACAGTATATTCATTTATAAATAGTTAGTTAAAACATTAAATAAAAACAAAATATTATATTAAATAATATTTTGTTTTTATTTAATGTTAATTAATATATTTTACTTTAAATATAGATAGAATAGTTAAATTTTTTAATACGAAAATATTATTTTTTGATTTTTAATAAATATTTAATAAAATAGTTATTATTATTAAACATCTGTTCTTTAAAATATTAAATTAATTAAATATCTAATAATAATTTTAGAAAATTTATTGTTTTATCATTTAATAAATATATTTTCTTTAAAATAAAATTTGCAAAATTAAAAATAAATATTATTTCGAAAGAAATTAGTATAATCAATTTTTATAAAAATTTACTTGAAATTTAATTTTAATTAAATAATCCAGTGTAATTATTATTGAAAAATCATGTATTTTCCAATTATTTATACTATTAGAATTTTTCAAAATAATTATTATTAAATTTAAATTTTGTATATAATTTCATTATTATGTTATAACAGTTGCCTAAAAAAATAAAATAAAACAATAAATAAATTGTATGTTAAATTATTTAAGTTATAAATTATTTTTACTCCAAAACTTCTGGATTTTATAGGCAATGATGTCGTATACGACCATTGATTTGATTTATAATCATATACTTCAACCGTTTCGGTTATATTCATATCTATAAAAATTTTATAATAACAATTTATTTAATATAATAGATATTTCAAACATACATTACATTGAAAATAGTAATTGATAATAACGTTAAATAAGATAAAATAACTAATTATATAATCTATATAACTATATATTGTTTTTATAAAAATAATTAATACCATTTTTAATGCCACCCAATGCATATAATTTATCATTAAGAGAAATCAATTTAAAAAAGCGTCTACCTAATATCATTGATGCTATATAAATAAAAATATAATAATAACATAATTAATATACAATTAAATTATAAAACTACATAAAAACAAAAAAATCATAACAATTAACCAATTTGTGTCCATTGATTTGTTTTCGGATCATATGCTTCACATGATTGACAATTACTATTACCCCAACCGCCGCAAACATATATTTTATTCATAAATATTGTTGCACCAAAATAACATCTTAAAATATTTTTAAAAATATATTATTAATTTTTATCTTATAAAATATTCCAAAAAAAATAAATAATTTTTTTTAAATATTACTTGTTTTACTGTATTTTTACTGTAAGCAAGTTAATTTTTAAAATAAATTGAAAAAAACTAACCTAGTATATGTCATATTAGCCATTGGTTGCCATTGTTGTGTTATTGTATCGTATCTTTCTATTGTATTTAAATATTTACCACCATTTTTATTTTGACCACCAATAGTATATATAAATCCATTGTAAGCTATGACTGCCATACCATGATTTTCCGTACTCATTGGTTGCCCAATAGACCATTGATTAGTATTTAGTGAATAATATTCACAAGTATTGATAACATTGCCTAAATGTTTATTGTTTTATATTATTTACAAAAATATATATAATATACTTAACATTTTATATTATATATTAAACAAAATACACAATAATAAAACAAAAATTGTATAAAATGTGTAATAATAAAATATTTGTAGCAAAAATTGGTTATATGTAATTTGTTAATATAAATATATGTAATTTATATATTATGTGATGGATAAAATAATAATAAAATTTAAATAATTATTAATTAAACTAATTTAAGTAGTCAAATAATTAATTAATTTAGTTATAGACTTACCATTTTCACCACCGCATACATATATATGATTTTGTATTACTGTAGCATCATGATTACTTTATAATATTTAATAAATCTAATTTATAAATATTTTAAAATAAAATTGATTTTAAACTAATTTTTAATTATATAAAATACCGGCGTATTATATTCATCGATGCTATAGATTTCCATTGATTTGTTTGTTGATCATATGTTTCAATGCTATTTAAATAATTACCCTATATATTTATATATAAAGAATATATTATAATACATTTATTTATTTATTTTTTTATTAAAGAATTAAAGAAAAACAATTTTATACATACATTCCAACCTCCGATTGCATACAATTTTAAATCCATTGAAATCAAACTAAAACTCATACGTTTAGTGGACATGGATTGTATTGGTTGCCAAACACTTGTTTGTGTATTATATTTATAACACACTGACAATTGTGTTGTCCCATCCCATCCACCGCATATATAGATAAAACTATTGTCGGATAAGTCAAGTGTTTCCTAATTTAGACAAAACATAATAATAATAATAATAATTAGTTTATATTAAATATTTTTAATTATTTATTAAAAAAAACCAGTTGAAAATGCTTCAAAAGCATTTCCATAAGAACTCCTTAACTTAAAAAATAAAAATATTTTTGTAACTGAGCCTAGATTCGAACCTATGTCCTTGTGAGACAGACAGACAGACTTTTAGAATGCATATACGTACTCCTTTCAGAAGTTCGTGATAAATAAATACTAGTTTAATGTTATTATTATTAATTGCAGTTGTATTTAATCAGTAAGTTCAATTAGTAAAGTAAATAACTACTATTAATAATAATTATTTATATATTATAATTAAATTTTAAAGTAAAATTCGAATAGATTACATTATTATTATTATTATTAATTTCAATTGAATTTATTGAATAAACACAAATAAATATGTTACTAACTACAATTAAAAATTTAAAATAAAATTTATTAATCATAATAAGTTAGTTTGTTTGTTTGTTTTCTAATTAATATAAAGTAATATAATTAAATATTATAAATAATATTTTTTACTTTTATAAATTTAGTTAATTTCATGAACTTTTATATATATTATTTACTAATTAAAAATTATAATTTTAAATTAAAACAAAGTTCAAGTATTAAATTTTATTGAAATACTGATTATTAGATTAATTAACTTTACCTGCTTAACCTTATCTAACATATACTTAGGTATATTTTCAATTGAATTATAATTATCTTAATGATAAATTATTATAATCTTAATTCAAATGAAATAGTAAACACTTGAAGTTAACATTTAATATTTCATATTAACTTATTTAATTTTTATTAATACAATTTTTTTTTGTAATCTTAACGATTAAAACTATAGTAATTTTTTATCGGTAACTTTAAGAGTATTAATTAAAATCTCATAATTATGAGATACTGCTATACTAGTATTTATAATTTTATTTAAATATATTATAGTTTTTAACTACTATAAATATTTATAACATGACTTAATTATTTAAATAATTAATTAATAATCTTTGTTTTATTTAATAAATAAATACAATTTAAAATTAGTTAATAATATTTAGTAGCTGAATATTTTTATTATAAATTTTTATTTATTTGATTTTCTTTTATTTTAAAACGAAAATTAAATAATTTTATAAAATTAAAACTAAGTTCAAGTATTGATATTATAAGTACTTATAAATTATTAATAATTTTTATTATTATTAAAGGTATGATTAATTTAGATGATTAATTAATACAATATATTAATATGTATAGTATATATAATAATCAATGATATATAATGTATAATATATTTAATATAAAGTATAAATGTATTATTACATTAAGTTAAAATTAGATATAATTTTTTATAATTAAATTAGACAACATAAAATATTTTTATAATTCAATTTTATTAATGAAATATCTTATTTTAAAAATAATAATTTTAAAGGTAAGATATAAATTTAATTTATTGAAATTAATAATTAAATAAAATTTTATTTTATTTGATTTATTTGTCAGTAGTTTTTTTAAAAATAATTTTATATTTAGCTTTAGTGTGGTTTTTCTTTTGCTTTTTCTAATAAAATAAATTTCATTATTTAGCCAATAAGTTAATTAGCAATCAGATTCACAACCTATAGATTTAAAATTATTAAAAATATTTAAACAAAAATATAATAATAATACTATTTTTTAAACTATGTTAAATTTAATTGTATTGTAATTTTTTATTTGGTATCTTATATATTAATAAATAATCTATATTCTGTATATATATATATAAACTATGATAATTACAGTTATAAATATACAGTAATATATATACTATATATATATATTTATGTATATTTATTAATTACCTCGACCAGTAAAATTAGGGTTAACCCAAACATCAGATTCTTGTATTATTAATACAGTTAGTACAATGACAATTTTTATTATACTTAAAAAACCACCATGCTCATTTGATGA